CCTCCAAATCTCCTTGCACAGCTGAGATGGGAACAGCTCCTGCCCCTGCTGGAGAAATGTGCCCACCGGTGTAATTCAGATCCACTTTTAATCCTCTATCACTTCAATGCCATAAAAATTAAAATGTGGCCAGTCAGGCCCATGTGCAGGACCCCTTTACAACAAAAGATTTTCAGAGCCTGACATGAACTTAGGGTGCATCTTTCTTTACTTGTAGGGAAATCGAAGCCCACAGAAGTTGCCTGACATTCTGGAGGTCACTCAGCTAGTGAGCTACAGTTTTCCTACCACATAGTCTCACTCTGAATTAGAAGCATTTACCAAAGAATGTTTGACCTGAGGGGTTTTGGGGATTTTCAGAATAAAAAGCAAACAGCTAGGATGTTAGTGTCAAAAGTATTTGGTAATATTCTAGGTTATGACAGAGACCCCAAGCTTCATTGTATCTAAAAGTTAGAAAGAATACTTTGATGTGCAACATTTTCTAACATTGAAAGTCCAAATTCTACTAAATATGATGATATTAGAAACACTGTCCAAGTTTAGAAGTGGAAAATATTTTAAGCACATTTCCACTTGCAGATTTTCTTGAAGGAAGAAAGGAGAAAGAAAAAGAAGTTAAGAAAGAAAGAGAGGTTGAGAAAGGTCAGTACCAGAGAACCTCAGGTAGGGAGAATAGGAGATAAGCTTGCAGAATAAGGGTGACATATAAATCCCATTATTTCCCCAATATAGAATTGTGATCCTTTTGATGTCAAAACTGAAAGAAATGATATATTCAAAAGCTAAGCCTCTCTCAGTGAAATATGTAAAGTACCTGTTTCCCTAAAGCTACTGGCACCAGGATAACCCTGGAATTTACACCTTTTCTTTAATCAGTGGAGAATTATTCTAAAAGTATTATGTTTGATTGCCCTGCACTATGGCCACGCGTTCTTAACCGGATTGTGGCTCGAGCAGGATTTGCATCCTCTGTCCCCGCTGGATGTCAGGGGCCTGATTCCACAAGCACCCTTCCAGGTGGTAGGGGATGGAACAAAGAAGAAACATGAAGTCACCTTTTAATCTGAAAAACATCACAAAAGTTATGTTTTATAATTTTCCTTAAGTCACATAGATCATATTATTTCTTAGGTCATCTTCTCCCAATCACCTCTACATTATACTAGCAATATTTGTTTGATTTGCTAAAAACCACCTGCCGATTGCAATCAATATTCTTACAGCTTTTGAACACCTGCCTGTTCAATGCACTACTGAGGACGTGAATATCAAGTGGACAAGGTCCATCCTCCGAACGAGCACAGAAGGAAGCAATGTTCAGTCTGGTCTGAGGACCACCAGCATCAGAACACCAGGAGTGCTCTTTAAATTCTGGTTCCCACTCCTGCCCATGAACTCTGATCCAGGACTTCCGGGATCCCAGAACTCTGTACACATTAGTATCACCTCAGATGACCCAAACATATATCTCATTCAATTCTGCAAACAATGCTAAAATTATCATGTCAGCTTTACAGAGGATACAACAGTTGCTGAGAAAAAAAATAACGTGCATTGCCCAAAGGCACTCAACTAGCATGGGACTGTTGAAGATTCAAACTCAGGCATGTTTCAAACAAACTATGAAATACAGTAGAATGGATAGAGTGAA